AAGCAATGTTTTTTAAGAAATTATATTATATGACTTCAAGCATAAAAATAGGCTCAGATAGCATTAAATTGTGTTTTGGGACAGTGTTATGTGTATATTAACTAGCGATAATGTTGATGATGAGTATTATGTTTGTAACATTTTAATCGGAAAAGTTGGGTAGAACAAGTGGACTTGATGTCCGTGCTACCAAGAAACGTTTTATTAAGAATAAATATCAGCATGCAGTAACTGTACATCCATTTAAAACATTTAAACATTAATGTATTATTTCTTCATTTTCATCTAATTAAAGAAAGTTAAAGAACGTAATTAAGAACGGCCTTTAATTGAGGGATTCTATTAGACACCAAGGGTCCTTAATTAAAGGGGGACCTTTAAATATCTAAAAATAGATAAATACTGTAACCAATCAATCTGTTTCTGTCTGAATTTTATTCAAAATTATATACATTCTCAAAATCACGAGTATATACTTTTAACACAAATTTTAAGAAAATTAGCGAGGAAAAATATTAGATATTACTTCAAATTCGACATTTTTATACATTGCACTTTACCCTATACAAAATGACGTAGGTGGAACATTTCACAAAATTTGAAACATGAAAAAATGAACATCATATGAACAAATACATAAAATATTTTGATACATGATACAAAACGCACAAGTACGGTACGGTAACGTTACCGATTCCAAGACTGACGAAAATACAATTGAAAAACACATTCATTATTTAGTTATTAAATATCATAGCAGTAGAGATTAACACATAATATTTTTATTAATATTATTAATCAAAATATTAGAAAACATTAGGTCTTTATATGCACAATGCTTTACTATAATTTGAGCATAATTAATAAATTTTAATTAATTAAATTCACTTAAAGTACAACATAGTTATTCATTGATAAAAATGGATAACATTTTTTTTTCAGTTTTGTTTAGTATATATGTAAATAAAAATTATTTATTTACATAACATCAACTCCAGTCTAACTGTCCAATTACAATACCATACTTTAATAATGTAGTAAACAAACACAATGCTTTATATTGCATAATTAGATAAGAAGCTTACAAACGACATACGCGTACCAACCTTTTGCATTCTTAAACAATCGTTCACAACAAAACATACTAATATATGCAATTTTAAATTCATGCTTACCGAAATTAATAAAGAATTGATCAATCACCGTCACTAATGAAACGAATAAGTATGTGTAGACATACCGATACTGTATAGTTACACTTAGAATAATTTTCTAATACAGTAGAGCCCTATTAGGAGGATACCTTCAGGATGATTATTTTACGCGATTCACTTTTTGACAAGAGAATGTATTAAATGTTAGAAGGATGTCAAAATCGAAAGTCAAATGCTCCTTTACATCATAGACGATTAGAAAAAAAAGTTAGTGGCCTATGGCATATGCAACAGCTGGTGCCAAATGAGTTACCAGATGAACACAATGATTAATATGATACCGGGTATACTTTTTAAACGGAGGATGACTGAATAGGAAGGAAGCTGCCGGTGGAAAACAATTACCGTATGATTTGCAAATTCATGAAGTACAACTGTGTATCGGGATCAAAGTTGAATGAGTTAGACCAACACTGGTGGTATTGATTGACCACTAGACACTCTTTCATGAGCAGTTTATATACCGTACACTGTTAAATTAGCGTGGAGGATTTATAAGCAAAACTCCACGCAATGTTGTCCCGCCTTTTGTGACACGTATAAAAAGCTAAACGTGTTTAGATACGATCTTGAAGTGTTTAGAATTAAATCTGCTTAGGTTTGACTTGATGATGCCAAATACCTAAGCACATCTAATGCTAAACACGTCAGAAACCTGAACACATTAGGCCGGACCTAAACACGTTTAGCTTTTAAACGTGTCACACCAAAGACGGGACAGCATTGCGTGGAGCTTTGCGTTTGAATCTTCCACGCTGTTTTTACAGTGTACTCGCGCGTTAAACATATCGAGTGGTTACAACATAGCACGTATGTATACTAACACTCGTTCATCGGTATGCTTGTTGCGCGACCCGTCTTGAGAGGTTATTGTTGAATTAGGTTTTATGATTGCTGGGGCAACAGAATGATTATTCCCATAGGTCCACTAGATAGTGTGTTTTCGAAGATTTCACCAGTGTTCATTGACATAGGCCAAGATCAGTCTATAGCTATATACTAGAAAGCATTTCATCGTCCAAACTCTAAGCTTATACATTGGGACTTTTCCAAAACGGCCATTCATATGCCCTTCTGCTAAATAATGCCCTTCGGCTCCTATTTCTGCTAAAAAATTAACCTTGGTTTTAACCGTTGAATATAGGTAAATGCGAGCCTATAAACTCTGATCTGAACAAGAAAGAATATTTCACTACAAAAGTGTGCCACTGAGATCACTTAGGCCTATACGGTAATAATAGAGTTAATGTTATTCTTAAAATAGTGAATGCAATAATAAAATTAACTCTAAATTGAGTAAAATTTCACTCTTTTTTCGTCTATTTTTATCAATTGGGGTTTTCACTCTTCCATTTAGAGGGAGTACGTACGGTACACAGGACCTAGGACTTGGGTCTATTTGTTTCCAATGCCATAATACACAGTGACGGATTCAAGGGGAGGACAGCCGACACAGTCCCCCTAATTTTTTTCAAAATTGTAAAAACTATGGAGAAAAAAAGGAAAGTATATTATAGTCTGAGAGTGCCATTTCCAGTCATCTAGAGGTATCATAATCATAGATTTTCTTATCTCAGCTAGCCCCGACCATGGTGGGTTAGCCCCGACCAAGTGATATACACCCACTATCTCTGTCAAAGTCCCTCCCTGGGCCAACTCCATTTCGAATTCATGGACCCGTCACTGATTCACGAGGTGCTGTTTATGTTAAATGAGTTAGTCTCACTTGAAAACCGCTATAAACTTGCAATACTGTATAAAGAATTTGATTGAAATTAAATTTTAGTCACTGTTTCCTTGACGAAGTGCACCCAGTATTTTTCAGTCCCTATTTCTATGATGACGGGCAATGTACATTCATATATGACGTTTACAATAGAAAAAAAAATAATTAAAGCGTAGTGTATTTGTTGGCTCACAATTAGCCTACACAGAGTAGCTAACATAAACTTGACATTTTGCTAGTACTGTAGCAGCATAGCGCCAGGACAATGATATGTCATTGATGCATCTTTACAAATTTAAGGTCATTCTGTGTTGCTCTGGACACGACTGGCATTTTATCTTGCTAATTCCTGAGTAGGCCTATATTTAACGTATGTGGTCTTCCTAATTAGCAATTTGTACTTTCTGTGTTTATGTAATAACCTGCCTACGTTGTATATTTAAGTAGGTTCTATGTTAATAGCAAACATTTTAACAGAGGCACAGAAATAATACGTTTAACAGACCTATAAATAAATATTATACCGTTCCTATATTATTTGTTTTAATTAGCTGTCAATCAGTTGAAGGCTTTTGCTCTCCGTAAATCAGCGAAACGAAAACTTAAATATTTTTGATCCTTGTTTCATTCGGTTTGACCTAATTAATTTGATAGGCCTATTTTGAAGGTTTTCAGAAGTTTCTCATCTATAACTGATGTCTGTAGTATTTGTGAGAATAGACCTTGCCGGAGTGTCAATCAATCTTAACAACTGACCAATCAGAGCCAGGAATACGCGCGTGTCTTACAAACACACGCGTTGTCCAACAAACGCACATATTTTGCGTATGTTTTTTTTAAACTGCCGTCTTGTGGGATCTTGACAACAATCTAAGGGGCGGTGCTTAGCGCAAAGTTACATTGCGTGACAGGGTTGTTAGATACTACAGTATAAATTCGGACCGCGTTTCCGAATCACTGAATGCCAGTGTCCCTATTCTTATACCGTACTAATTCAATTTTCTGACCGCTCCTATGGTGAGCTTTCCCATCCGAAAATTCGGATTCAGTGTGGATGTATTTTTATACAGCAGGTCCCTGAACATATCGGTTATTTTTTTTTTCACAAAAACAACACAAATATTCATTTTCAAGTAGAAACAGAAAAAATAAATATTTAAGATCATAATTGCTATAGTAATTATGCATCCATGTGCGAATAAATTGACCTAACGTTTACCTAAGGTCATTCTTTGAACTCTGTTTAATTAAGTTTAACGCAAGGTGAGTGACCAGTCTCTGTGGGAGATGGATAATCCAGTCAGGTGTTACTGACTTGAGTGACAACGTGTGTTACGGCCTTAACGGTGTCCGTTAGTGTTAATTTCTTTTCTCTATTGTTGGTACCAATCAAATACATTAGTGTCCAATAGTATTTAATTATGTATTAGCTTTCGTTGGGAGACGAAAAACAATTTAGGCCTAAGGGCCATTTATGAACTTGACCTAATAGACTACAATAGACCCTGAACTACACTAGATAAGGTAGCGTGCTTTGGTGGATGGGGTTTCCAGACATCGTTAAGCTTATTTCTCAAAGCGCCAGCATATTTTAGGTCATTCCAAATATCGAGAAGCTTGAAAACAAAATACAATTTCCGTTTAATAAACTAGATGTTGCTTCTATGGCTTATAACACGACGTATGGTGCCCATACCGTAAAAGGATGTGACTCAGTCATAAATAAAGCCTGTTGAACCTCATAAACTTATATATAATTAGTAGACGGTAGAATTGGAACTTAGGCCCTATAAATTGTTGGTCAATATTATATCTGACCGTAACCTTCAATACCCATGTGTAGGTGAAAACGGACACCACAAATCTCATCTTATTAGCGTGCAACTGGTGGCTTTAACAAAGGCTATCAGCTCCCAACCAGGATCGTAGTTCGTGCAGTAATGCCCGCTTACTTGGACAAAGCGCATTAATCACTACACACCGTTTTACCATACCCAGTGATACTTTTACCTGGTTGAGCCTTATATCTGTCTCTTATACACATCTAGATGTGTATAAGAGACAGGTTACAGTCGAATTTACTTTCTAGTTTTCAAATACATTTTAAAATATGCTTGTAATAAAACGGATAATTCGATAGCTCCTGCTATCTTTATTGTTTACTCACTTTGTATTACAAATGTGTACTTAAAATTACACAAGGGAAGTAGGATGGGGGTGTTTGTGTTTGTGGCCGCCTTACTTACAGTAGAAGTTTATTGTACAAAGTGGTACAAACACTTAGTAGACCTCAAAGTGTTGGGTTGAGTTGTTAACATCCGATATAGTACGTGTGTGAATGTACACATCCGGTGGTGGCCAGAAGGCTAAATTTCGACGAAACCAACCTTTTCCCAATGGTCATTGTAAAAATGTCCGACAATGCAGTTTATAGGTTGCGTTGGCGGGTACCATTCAAGAATTAACAATTGGACGATGACGTGACAGTTGAGTAGTTTGAATCGTAAGAAGGACACGAGAGTTCTATTGGTTCAAGAAACTTGTGACGGGTTTTTCTTCTCTTTCTGTACAATAGAAGAAAGGCATATCGGTAGCATGTTACATAAAATTCGAATGCAACCAACTATTTGTAAAAGTAGGCCTAATTCGAGATATGACTTTAACATTATTTTTCATTACAATAAATAATAATTGTTTTAGTAAGCGGTAAATCTTATTTCTACTACTGTCATAGTGTAATTATACCCGGTGCGTCGTTCTGTATTTGGACAAACTCCTAAATGAATTCACTGGATTGTTGTATATTAACTTGTGTTGTGTGTTATTAGTTAGGATGATGTGGGGGTGCCTGTGTGTGTGTTTGAACGTTTATGTTGTTGCTGTTGTAGGTCTAACCCAGCAAACAGGGGAGGCACTAGGATATAATTTATGGGAGGGGAGATGTCCGACTGTGAGGGGGCTAAGTGTTTATGGGTGTAACTATAGCGCGCAGCGTTATCTGAGGGCCAAAGGCCCGAGCCGGGGTGGGTATGGGAGGGGAGTGTCCCCTCCTCCCAAAACGAGATTTTTTTTTTTAATTGGGACTTCTAGATGTTCTGCTTGACTGATCAGACACAGACGAAGCGATTGCTGTGACAGATTTGGCTTGGCGTAGGCAGTACAGTACTGGGATGGGAAAACTAGGCTATTTTTTTGTTGGTCCGACTGCCCTACAAGCTTTGGCCAATGAGGGTGCTTGACGAGACCAATGGGGGGTTAGGTCCTTATCCCCCCCTCCGCCGGCCACCCTTCCCTCCCCCTGCTGGCGCCACCCTTGCCAGCAAAAACAAAACGTTATTATAACGTACGCGAAGATTAAACGTTCTGGTTAGGTTATACCAAACTTATAACACGACGTTGCAGCAACGTTAGCAATGTTATTTAGTGGATATTTACGTTAAAAATATTTACTTGTGCTTCTATATAAAAAATTGTTACACCAAAATATAGCGTTATTATAACGTAAAATGTAGCTGGATATTTAATCATGTTTTTCTCTTCAAAATTGTATGCTATTTACATGCATTTTTGTGTATGTTTGTTTGTAAATGAAGAGTAATTGAATTGAATTGAACTGAAGAAACTTATAGGTCTATGTTGATTATACTATCGTATAATATTCTTACCTGGACCGAAAGCACACTATTGCAATGATCATAATAATCAGTAATATTATAACACCTGTCAAAATCAGTATGAGGTTTTTGTACGTTTCCGTCCAGCCCTGCAAAACACAGTACCGGCATCATTAACATTCAATAAAAATAATTTCGTTATAATCATAACTTTTGATATTTATTTTAGACTGTGATATCTTTGAATGGAAATAAATAGTATACAGTAGACAGTTCATTTTCAATCACTGACAAATTCTCAAATGAATTGCAATACAAATATATATTTGCATTGCCGACTTAAGACATAAAAATAATCAAAACTTGGATTAAAAATACATCTTTCATTCCCTGTTCTGATGTAGTTCGTGGTCTCTGGGTCATATTTATTTAAGGCAAGTCAATTCAACAATAAAGATAACTACTATACAGCTATCGATGAAGTGTATACCTCAGTGTTTGTTTCCGTTTCTTTGTATAGTATGTACGGTTGCATTCGTCGTTCTGCTTCCCCGTTCGGCAGCTCCTCAACCATGTGTTTAACCTGAATGTCGGGTACGAAGGTGTCATTAACAAACACCACAAACGCAACCCTGGTGATGGTGTCCCTAAAACAATTCAAGTTCAAATTTAGAAATAGCTCAAACTATTAAAGTTAGAAATAGAATCAATTAGCAAGAATTTTTGTTTTTTTTTATCTGAGATAACCCTTAAGCATATCTAACTATTGAATTGTTCTTAAAAGTATAAAATAAAAACAATGTTATTCAAGCGTCCGCTAACTGGCGAGGACAACATTTTCAAATTCCTAACTAAAGTGTTATACAATACACAACTGTATTGTGCATAGGAACAGGGAGAAGGCGGTAGAACCAAGCGTGTAGCAGATGAGCTCGTTTTGATTTTACTGTATTATATTATGAGATGGAATAGACATAGCATTTTCATCATCTGAACGATGTAAGCCTAAGCGAATAGATAATAAGAGGCAGAGAATTCTTAGATTGGCCCCCTTAGATTTCTTTAAAATATTGCTGACTTACTGTAATAAGCCTAGCGATTTAGGCCTAAGTTAAGTATTGTAATATGCATAAATACTCTCAATCCAGCAGTCATGACTAGCAATCGTATCCATACTTCAGGTTTAAAAAAAAGAAATAGGCCTATTAAAATAGCAGGAAAATTATCAAAGGCAAGATTGGCATTAAATATGCTTACGATTGATCATTTAAACTTGTAGAAACAACGATGCATTCAACTCGTGTAGCGCCCTTTGCATGGTCGTTTTCTCCGATTAGATCTGCAAATTTGTTCTCAAGTTCGTTTGTGTTTATATCGGTTCCCTCTATATCTAATTTGTATCCGTATTTCTGTGAATCTGGGAGAATTTAAAATTTAAATTAAAAAAAATACATGTTGATACATTAAAATTATTATTTGAAACATTGATGTTGAAAATCAGATGGTATTCTTAAAATTGGTTATAAGCTAGGCCTATAATCATATATTATACAAGAACGCATGCTTTACTATTTATGTAAATATTGTTTGTGTAATCTTTTTAGAAATTGGCAGTCTAATAAGCTCCAAATGCTAGCTCCCCCTTTCAGCCAGGAAAGGGGGACGTTAGCGGGCGCTGTTAAAATTTTACAGTTAAATTCAGTCAAGACACGGTCGAATGTAGAAACATTTCCTCAAATCTGGTACAGTCCTCGTACCGAGCGGTGTAAGGTGTATTGTAAGGGGCTCTCTATGAGTGGCGAGACGACCGCAGCGTCCCTTATCTAGCCCGGTATATCTAGGTCTTCTCAACTTGACTGATTTCAAGCCCAGCCTCAGCTTGCCTGTAGTACATACGTTGTCACGGACTATTATTATAATCATGATTTTATTTATTTTTCTGGCACTAAAATATTTTGTAAAAAGTGCATTACCATACAAAATTCAACGATCGGATGGTGATATTCAAAAAAAGTTGCTGTTAAATTTGAAAGAATAAAATATATGCCATACACATATAAATTAGCCCAACATTACTAAAGTCAAAAAAGAAATAAATGTTTGTGTGTACTTACCAATTTCACAATGTCGGCCAGTAAATGCGCCAACGCATTCACATTGGTACTGATCATCCATATCAATGCATCGTCCTCCGTTGTTGCATGGCTGACTCCTGCACTCATTGACGTTAATTTCACAGATCTTACCATCAAATCCTTTGGCGCATGTGCAATAGTATCCATTTAAAATGTCTTTACATTCTCCAGAATTTTTGCAGGGGCCACTGCTGCATTCGTCGATCTGAATATCACACGTGTCTCCATGGTAACCGGGGGCACATTCGCAAATGAAGTAATTCAAATGATCGGAACAAGTTCCGTTATTTAAACATGGATTGCTTTCACATTCGTTGACATCAACGTCGCATACGTCACCGGAGTACCCAGGGATGCATGTACACAGGAAACCGTTGATACGGTCTTCACAAGTTCCCCCATGCTGACATGGTTCGCTCGCGCATTCGTCCACGTTTGTTTCGCATGATGTACCATTAAATCCGGGTTGGCATACACAAGTGAACGCACCATGTTCATCTACACATGTGGCACTATTCTGGCAAGGGTCACTCTCGCATTCGTTGAAGTCTATATCGCAAGTTGTACCATTGAATCCTTGTGGGCAGTCACAATAAAATGAAGCTATGTTATCGGTGCATGTTCCATCGTGCAAGCAAGGAGAACTGAAGCATTCGTCAGTTTCGATTTCACATAAATCACCCTCAAAGCCAGTTCTACCACAATAACATTCAAAATGGTTGATTTTATTCCGGCACTGTCCATTGACACATGGTGAAGACTCGCATTCATTTATATCATACTCGCAATCATGTCCATTGTAGCCTGGAGGGCAATCGCAAACGTATTCTGCGATGAGGTCATTACATTTCCCGCCATTTTGGCAAGGACTACTGTGACACTCATTCACCTCTATCTCACACAGATTTCCCTGGAATCCAGGCAGGCAAAAACACATAAAGTAGTTAGTTCTATCCTGGCAAGTAGCGTTGTTATGGCATGGATTACTGCTACATTCGTCGATATTTGTTCCGCAATGAGGATCAGTAAATCCCTGAACACATAAACACTGAAAGTAATTGACACCGTCGATACATGTTCCGTTGTTGACACACGGATCGCTTGCGCATTCGTCGACGTCATTCTCACATGTAGCTCCGTCAAAACCTGCTGTACAGTCACATACGAAGTAATCGACGAAATCGAAACAAGTTCCATTATTCAAGCAAGGTGAACTATCGCATTCATTGATGTCAATTTCACAATGATTACCAGCATATCCACTTGCGCATGTGCAGTTATACCCGTTCACTAAATCCTTGCAGTTGCCATCATGCATACAAGGAACAGATACACACTCATCTATGTCTACCTCACAATGATTTCCATCAAACCCTTCTTTGCAGTCGCACAAATACGTAGCAATGTCATCTATACATGTTGCACCATTCATACATGTGTTGTTGACGCATTCGTCAATGTCGATTTCGCAAAATGTACCGGTATATCCCGGTGAGCATTCACAATTGAAGATTCCGATAAGATCATTACAGGTACCAGCATGCTGACATGGGTTGCTCTCACACTCATTTATGTCAATATGGCACGTGTCACCGGAGTAGCCATTAGGGCAGTCGCAGGTGAATTGACCTACTTCATCGTGGCACGTACCTCCATTTTGACAAGGATCACTCTTACATTCGTTTATTTCTTTATCACAAACTATTCCTTCAAAACCGTTCGCACAAAAACAATTGAACTGGTTGATTCTGTCGGTGGTACATGTTGAATTGTTCGCACAGGGACCACTGAGGCACTCGTCTATGTCCGTGTCACAAAACTCCCCGCTGTAACCCGGCACACACTCACACGTAAACGTATTAATGCCGTCTACGCAACGTCCCCGTATGCAAGGAGGACTAGGCCTAGCGCATTCGTCAATGTCCTCTTCACAGTGGGCACCCTGGTAGCCAGGAAGGCAGGTGCAGGTGTACCCAGCAATTTTATCCGCACAGGTTCCGTTGTTCTTACACGGTGCACTTGCGCATTCGTCAATATCCACCTCACATTTCACACCAATGAAACCATCAAGACATGTGCAATGATAATCATTTATGACGTCATCGCAAACTCCTCCATTCAAACATGGTTCGTCTTCTAACTTGCATTCATCTGTTTCATTTTGACAGGAAGCACCTGTCGAAAAAAGACATCGCATAGGTTAGCGTGTCTTCTGTTATTTTAATGGTGGTTCATGAATCGTATCATTAGGAACCAATCCAATGTACACGTCTTCACGAAACCATTGAAGGATGCGTGCGTGTGTGTGGGGCGAGTGTCGGCGTCTTTGTACATAAGCAAAGTCGAAAACAAGGCATGTGGTTTCAAGTTATTTACATTCTCAAAAATAAAAACACTGTACTTAAATGATTTTAGTGTCCTTATATTTTAAATAGTCGTGAACTTTTGTGTATGTATGTCGGACTCCTGAACGTATACTGATGTAATTACTGTATATTGTAATGGGCCTACTGTAAGTAAACTTACCTTCGTAGCCAGCAGCGCATGCGCAACTGAATTGTCCAATCTGATTGGTGCAAACACCACCATGTTGGCACGGTGAACTCGCACATTCATCAATTTCAGTTTCACAATTACTACCTATTGAAAAACGTATTAGGAAAACTTTATGCCTTGGTCGTTTTTATGCTTATATTATTAGTATTATCATCACCATAGTTGTTTTACACATACAAAAATGCCATCAAAGCTGTGAACACTTTTTAGTGGTAGCATAATAGGCTAATTTTTTATGATCATAAACAATAAAATACTCCGGAGAGATGGCATTATGTTGCTACATGTAGGCCTAGTTATATTTTATTTAAACAACATGAACTATTTTAAACTTGTCAAACTGAAAGTATTTAGGAAAATGAAAATAGGCCGATAACAGGATAACAAATAATTAAATAGCAGAAATACTGTTCATTCATATATATATAGGCATTATATATATATATATATATATATATATATATATATATATTTACATATGTATAGTCATTATATATATACTGTATATATATTTATATTTTTCATTTCATTTCATTCGGGCAATGCCCGACTTTATTCGCTCATAGAGTTATAATTTATAATGAAGTGAGATTTTTTCTTAATTTAGAGGCAACATAGAGAAACTTAGATAAATTAATTTGTAAATCATTATATCTAAACAAACTTAATAACTTATGACGGTTCGGGTTAACCCAGAAGTGCGATGGCAGTAATGACCTTCTTTCTGATTTATAGGCAGGACAAATAGATGTGTATAAGAGACAGGTTATACCCGTTCACTAAATCCTTGCAGTTGCCATCATGCATACAAGGAACAGATACACACTCATCTATGTCTACCTCACAATGATTTCCATCAAACCCTTCTTTGCAGTCGCACAAATACGTAGCAATGTCATCTATACATGTTGCACCATTCATACATGTGTTGTTGACGCATTCGTCAATGTCGATTTCGCAAAATGTACCGGTATATCCCGGTGAGCATTCACAATTGAAGATTCCGATAAGATCATTACAGGTACCAGCATGCTGACATGGGTTGCTCTCACACTCATTTATGTCAATATGGCACGTGTCACCGGAGTAGCCATTAGGGCAGTCGCAGGTGAATTGACCTACTTCATCGTGGCACGTACCTCCATTTTGACAAGGATCACTCTTACATCTGTCTCTTATACACATCTTTTGTTTCCGTTTCTTTGTATAGTATGTACGGTTGCATTCGTCGTTCTGCTTCCCCGTTCGGCAGCTCCTCAACCATGTGTTTAACCTGAATGTCGGGTACGAAGGTGTCATTAACAAACACCACAAACGCAACCCTGGTGATGGTGTCCCTAAAACAATTCAAGTTCAAATTTAGAAATAGCTCAAACTATTAAAGTTAGAAATAGAATCAATTAGCAAGAATTTTTGTTTTTTTTTATCTGAGATAACCCTTAAGCATATCTAACTATTGAATTGTTCTTAAAAGTATAAAATAAAAACAATGTTATTCAAGCGTCCGCTAACTGGCGAGGACAACATTTTCAAATTCCTAACTAAAGTGTTATACAATACACAACTGTATTGTGCATAGGAACAGGGAGAAGGCGGTAGAACCAAGCGTGTAGCAGATGAGCTCGTTTTGATTTTACTGTATTATATTATGAGATGGAATAGACATAGCATTTTCATCATCTGAACGATGTAAGCCTAAGCGAATAGATAATAAGAGGCAGAGAATTCTTAGATTGGCCCCCTTAGATTTCTTTAAAATATTGCTGACTTACTGTAATAAGCCTAGCGATTTAGGCCTAAGTTAAGTATTGTAATATGCATAAATACTCTCAATCCAGCAGTCATGACTAGCAATCGTATCCATACTTCAGGTTTAAAAAAAAGAAATAGGCCTATTAAAATAGCAGGAAAATTATCAAAGGCAAGATTGGCATTAAATATGCTTACGATTGATCATTTAAACTTGTAGAAACAACGATGCATTCAACTCGTGTAGCGCCCTTTGCATGGTCGTTTTCTCCGATTAGATCTGCAAATTTGTTCTCAAGTTCGTTTGTGTTTATATCGGTTCCCTCTATATCTAATTTGTATCCGTATTTCTGTGAATCTGGGAGAATTTAAAATTTAAATTAAAAAAAATACATGTTGATACATTAAAATTATTATTTGAAACATTGATGTTGAAAATCAGATGGTATTCTTAAAATTGGTTATATAATAGTAATACAGTATCATATTGAAAATGAATAGCTTTACCTGTGTATCCGTTGGTACAAATACATTCGTAACTGTCTTCCTCGTCTTTACAAGTTGCACCATTTTGACACGGGTCACTGTTGCATTCATTCATTTGTTTTTCACAATATTTTCCTAAAGAGACAGTATATTTCAGGTAATTTTATGTTTTGCCTAAAGAGAATGTTACGATGCATGTTAAATTAGACAAAAAGGTAAAGTTAAAATATGCAACAAGAGCAAAATAAAATAAAACCCTGTATAAATATAGGCCTATTATTATTATTATTATTATTATTATCATCATAATCATCATCATCATCATCAGCAGCAGCAGCAGCAGTATCATTATTATTATAATAAAAAGGGAACACTGATGTTTGTTTATAATTATACATAATCAAATAAGTAGAAATCAGTGTTCGAACAAAGGAACCATGATGCAAAGTATATGAAAATTCATATATTTTCTTTGGTAAATGGTAACCGCAGGGCTAACATATTTTCTAAAGATCAAATACTGTATATTAATCAAAACCTAAAAGGTGTTTTTTGAAACATTGTTCAAGTCATTTAAGCTCTCTCTTAATGCAAAAAATAATGACCCCAGATTTTCCAGATTTTGCATTGGTTGGCTTATGCAAAATTTATCTATCTAATTTAAAACCACTCGTGAAGTGGTTTGGTCGTGAGAAAATCAATTTTGGCAAGACTTCCTCTTGGATCCCAAGGCGTTTAATTGTTTGTTTAATGAAGGAATCTGGAGAATAGATATACATGTACAAGTCAAGGCTGTTTGTTATTAACTCTTATCAATTATTACTTATACACAGTAGAGCATCTGGGAGTGAAGATACTTCCATTTCATTTTAAAAAACGAATATAGTCAATGAAATTAAAAATAATAAGAATATAGTAATTATAGTCTCACCATGTAAAAACGAAAGAGGGCTAGTGAATTTATGAATTGTTTATTTTGAAGCAAGTTAAACTACTTTTCTTACCACGATATCCGGCTTTACATTTACATTCATATCCGTTCAATTGGTCTACACACATTCCATTTTGGTGGCATTTGTTAGTTTCACAATCATCTGTGTCAAAACTACAATTAGGGCCTTCGTATCCTGCTATACATTCTAGGACACCCGTCTCGGTATTGCAAATGAAGTTCGAATTCTCTGGAGGAACGCAATGTTTTGAACAATCTGGTCCGTAAAAATCTTCATTACAGTATACTGCCACATCGATCAACGTCACGCATGGTGCTCTAATGTGCAATGCATTTAGGAAATGAATTAATCAATTGTTTGTATACAATTGTGTAAATCAATTAAAAATTATGTATATAGGCCTAGGCCTATATATTGCTGTACGATATTAAAAGCATTTATTCAGTTGGTTTAACTAAATAGAGATAGGCCTACCAAGTATAATAATAATTGTATAATATGTATATATAATATATAATAATAATGTATACATAGGCATATTTATATTTTATATATACATATATCATACATTTATATACTACAGAATTTTACTTATTCGTCTTTAGAAAGTTTGGCTGTAAAATAATGTTTACTCTTTGTAGCCTCCTTCGATTGGGAGTCTGACCGTCTGTAGATCTGACTTATTGGGTTGAACTGTAAGGTTTTTTAGATGATAAGATACATTGGCCACCAAGTCATCCTCGTTCTTCTTGTCGAAGTCCCATACCGTGAGGTATAACTGAATACTTCCCTAGAAATCAGCAATTAAAATAAATGTTGAACATAAATGATAATAATTAATACTTATAATAAGAATAATAGTTAAAAGCTAACACAATAATAATAACAATAATAATAGACGGCCTAATAAAGATGTATAATAATACAATTAATAATAATAATGATAATAATAATAATAACAACAATAATAATAATAATAATAACAATAATAATAATAATAATAATAATAATAATAATAATAATAATAACAATAATAATAATAATAAATCGTAATATTTACTGTATGCAATCCTACTCACGTGCCATATGGGTAGTATAAATATCAGTGGATTGTCCAACTCTTGTTCATCGCGGCCTTTGAGCTTTTTCGGAAAATCAAAGTTATCTTTATTGTGATGGATGACGCCGGTGTTAATGCAGGATGGGTCTGCTTCCTCTTCTATAAATCTAATAAAAATTAAATATTAATGACGTAAATATAAATTACGTGTATTTAGCTAGCAATCCCATAGGCCCACCAAACGCTAGAAGCATAGAGATGAATGTATGTTTTATACAAGTGCATGACCATTGACCATTCATGAATAATTTATTATGTTGTAACTCATAAACGCCCCTTCCACCACCACCTATTTCTATGAGCCTACACGTATTGATAGAGGGTCAAAATTTATACCTATCAATTTGAGACTATGGAGAATCAAAACTGATATACGCATCAATTTGATCCTATGGAGTGTCAAAATTAATACTGTACGTCAATTTGAGCCTATGGAGGATCAAAATTGATACGCATCATTTTAAGCGTATGGAGGGTCAAATTGCTAAGTATTAATTTGAGTCTACAAAGGGTCAATATTGATATGTATAAATTTGCACCTATATATGATATCCAATCACTGACATCCAACCCGTGCATAGATGTGACAGATAGTTTGTACTGTATGGGATTTAAATACAGAACTGTTATTAGTGTTTTTAGACCTACAAGAAATTAAAATAAAATTGAAATTAAATTGTGTGTATTGTTCAAATAAAAATCACTTACAATTAGTTAGAGTAAATAATTATATCGATCATGGAGATTATGAGAAATGACCATACTTGGTTTAAGCTCAACTAGATTCACCACTTATTAATCATTCTCATCATGTAACTGACCGCAAAGGCTACCATTGGCGGATATATTTTAATGAACCATGGACACACCATGCTTCAATCATAGAAAAGGTACCGTAAATTATATTGGGTTTTTTTTTTTTTTTTTTGCTAATGTTTCAACTTTCAAAATTTACCGTACCTTTTTTCATTTTGAAGACATATTGAAAATCGATTGTCACATTCTTTTTTTCTCTCGCATTTTGGGCCATCTTGGAGGCGCCCTGAGCTATTGAATGACACTAAACCCACTTGAAGACTTGCAGACGCATTCACTAGTTTCTGAAAATAGATGACAGTGATTTTTTTTTTATTTATCACTTGCAGTGGTGGATCCAGGAATTTGAAATAGGTGTGGGGGGGGGGGGACCGGGATATTATTTCCTCCCATAAGTTAAGGCAGATATTATAGAGGGCGCTAGTTTAGGTCAGTTAGGCGAACTGATATACATGAATATGCATACCTGAGCTCCCCCTCGCGAAACAGAATTCAGTGGTGTATCGAGTAAGCTGCAGTGCTTACGGGCTAAGGATATCGGCATCGCCGCAGTACGAAAGAAAGCTGCTGTTTTCTATCGGCACTGTCGCAGTGCGGATAAGCTGCTGTTTTCTATCGGCATTACCGCAGTCTGAGAGTGCCATTTCCGGCCAACTAGAGGTGCCATAATCATTAATTGGTGGATCCGAGGTGGTCTACACTTCATCTGTAAAAGTCCCTCCCTGGGTCCCCTCTATTTCGAATTACTGGACCCGCCACTGTATTGTGAAAAAGTAGTGTGGAAATATGTTAATTGCATTCCTAAAATCAATTATTAGATACTACTAAAGGCTATAGAAGCCAAATTTTCCGGGGTAGGCCTATTAGCCCTCAGCACCCCCACCGGGGGCCCTATACCCAAGAATTCCATATTTTGCAATTTATTCTCCTCAATTCTTTATTCTCAATTTATTCTTTCAACCACGGATCGACGCCCTTGGTCTTCATTAATACCGTAATATTTTAATTAGTTAATTAATAATTCACTAATATATTGATATAAATATTGTGACCTATAACTACAATTTATTAATATATTTTAATTAATAAACATAAGAATCCTGCTACGATTTTTTCAGGTCAGGAGTTGTCATCAAAAAGCGGTAAATTTTCAATCGCGACCTCCGTATTTGTCGGTTAATGGAAATAGCAAAGATAAACATATATAATAATTAGTTTATAATTATATAAATAATAAAATTATATATATATATATATATATATATATATATATATATACGTACAGTTTATGTACAGCATGGTCTTTAAAAGTATTTTAAAAAAGCAGAGTAATATTGAATCTGGCTATTTGAGTACATAGTTATAGGCTTTGATACATGACAACGCGTAGTTCAATTGTTCAATTTTCACTGTGTCGACTACAAACACTCGACCGACTATCAGAGATGTTGGCCTACAATTGCTACAAAGTTTGTAGCAGTTGTATGACGGATGTAGGCCTAAACGTTTTTCTTGGAGTCAAATTACGAGTACTTTAGACGTTCGGACACAGTTGTTAACTTAAAATTTTACAATTAAACATTTTTTATGAGAATACATTTTACTTATTTTAAAAATCACTGTCAATTAACAGACAGTGAGCGTATTTGCTGTATTCTTTTGCATGACTCATGGGCTGGTAAAATTTTAAGAATTTTTTGTAGAACCGTATGTAAATCAGTGAAAACTATTTTTTACTTCAATCTGTTTTTGATCGTTTTAAATGAGCTATTCATTCTTTTTTTTGGGTAGACATCCTTTAATAAACAGTACGTCATATATTCAGTGTAAAGAATATCGTCAGTTTTGTGGTAAAATTATGATTATGATATGCATGATATATAAATCTAGGCATATTACTTTTATTCATGTTGTATATGAACGAAATTTTTGTGAAAAATCAACATTAAAACAATACATAGAATTGTCTTAATAATGTGTTCGAGCATTTTCAAACGTGTATCCTTCAGAACCAGTAGTAACCCTACTTACAGCAGATGTATGCTATAACTTAAAACTACTACTACCGAGGAGGTTTTATACCTCCTTGCTACTACCAGGGAGTTGTTATAACAACTCCCTGCTACTAATTAAATAACCGACCAGATTCAACGCTGTTTTTTATACTTTCAAAGACCATGCTGTATGCAAACACTGTCTACTCTAGGCATTGGTATATTATTATTACAATAGTCCATTGATTTTCACTGTGTCGACTACACTAACACCCGACCGACTACCAGAGATCTTGGCCTACCCAAATACGCCGTAGCTTTGCTCATCTACAAGAAACGCACATTAAATTCAAGAACTTAATTAAATTTCCTAAAAGGTTCTAGCAATTTTTTCATAATTAAACAAAATATTGTGTATTAAAATATTGTCAAAGTAAGGCCCTGTAGAAACCATTTGAAACAGCCTCTGGTAAAGCAATTTCCGTGAATCCAGAATTCCTAGGCCTACATCCTTATGTTATGGTCAGTAGTCCCAACATTGTTGCATGCTGAGGTGGGTTTTGAAACTCCTGGTAAATTTCGCAAAAAAAATTATTTGATTTTGAACAATGCAATATCAGGCCAATTAGAGTTGCCACTGCACCCCTAAAGCTTCCGGAGCTCTCGTATTCTAGTGGCTTAGATGACCAATTTAAGATTTCTGAGGAGGAAATCTAACAATAACAATGCTGTACAAATTTGAAGAAAATAACATTGCCAATTAATTGGGAACTCAGGCTCAATTCAAGTTCAAGTTTTAACAGTGGAGCAGGTATAGGTAAATCGTTGATCTTTCTTATGACCGACTCCACTGGCAATTAAAGTGAAAAAAAAACCTCACACAAACATTTTTAAAGTATACGATAATATTTCTGTGAATTTGCCCACTGAAATTTTAAATGACCAGCATATTTTGGTAGGGGGACGCATTTATATCAGGAATGTGCAGCAGTATCTGAAACAGATTGTAACGTTTAAAGTTAAGCAGACACTAATTCATTGTCCATACACTTACATTCACTTTAAAGAACACTGATTTATTAGGAATACAATAGTTCATCATCAATAATATACTGTTTAGAATATTGCCATTATATTTCACATCATTGATAAGCTATCAAAACGGGGTCCACACGCTAGTCACAAGTTCATAAGTCAGCTAGTCATAAGGACAATTGTTTATAATGTTGGTTAGAAACACTGGTCATAATTTCAAAAAGAATCGTCTATTCATAAAACTCATTATCTATAAGGTTCGCTAATCATAAAAAAAAGTTCGCTATTCATAATAATGGGTTTACCAGTCATAATCAATTGAAGAGTTCGCAAGTTATAATAGAAAAATATGACTGTTGGTCATAAGGTTAGCTAGTAATAATAAAAAGAGGATCTCTAGTCATAATAGCAAAATAGGACGATTAGTCATAATTAAAAAAGATATTTGCTAATCATAATAAAAAAAAAGAAGAGTTTCGCTGGTCATAAAAAAAAGTTCGTTAAATACATTCTAAAACGTCTCAGAACAGTTATGCTCCAAATTGCCCTGTTACTTTAGATAGGCCTAGTAGGTGGTTAGCCCCTGAAGCCCACATTAAAATTGTCAGACTGCTTGTCAAACCAGTTAGCCCCACACTTCAAATATAAACAAATAGATAAATATATAATATTCAAATTAATTAGAATATTATTTATTATGACTTCCAAGCTGCGACCTTAACCTTATCTTGCTTAACAATAGCTCACCTATGTGTAGCCTCTTCAGTCAGTTGTATAAAAGTCCATGGGGCTTAGATCTGCGCGTATACCCTATAGCTAATGTTATGACTAGCGAACCTTCGGAATGTGAACCTTATTAATAGCAAACATTATTACGAAAGCCCATTAGTGCCAATAAAGTATATGTTCAGTAATCCGTAATAACGAATTACTAATTCGTAATTACGGATTGCTAATCCGTAATAACGAATTAGTAATTCGTTATTACGGATTACTAATTCGTAATTACGAATTATTAATCCGTAATTACGAATTAACTAATTCGTTATTACGGATTCGTTAATTCGTTATTACGGATTACTAATCCGTAATTACGAATTAGTAATCCGTAATAGCGAATTACTAATTCGTTATTACGGATTAGTAATGTGACATTGTTGAAAGTAGTTGTACACTTTATATTTCTGCATTATGTTAAATTAATTAGCTTTGATCATTTTTTGAAGACGAAACGTTGACAATTGAACGATACACTTGTATGTATTATGTATGTTATACAATGTTCAAGTTGTAAAGAAAATAACAATTATTGACGAAAGAACGTGAATTGGATGTGTTGTTTATTGGACTCGGATGGCCCAATAACATCTGCTTTGACAACTTTAGGCTTACCATTTCTGATCGAGGAGAAGTGGAATTATTATACCAAAATATTTGAATTTTGACGATTTTTGTGGCGGCCATTTTGAATTTCAAACTGACTGACATCCTATCTTTTTGAAACTATGTTTATTAGACTCAGAGAGCACAATAACATATGATTGCAAACTATGTTTATTAGACTCAGAGAGCACAATAACATATGATTGCAAACTATGTTTATTAGACTCAGAGAGCACAATAACATTATGATTGCACACCAAATTTACCATTTTTGATCGTGGAGAAGTGGATATATACCAATATTTGCAACGATTTTTGTGGTGGTCATCTTCAATTTCAAAATTGCTGAAATTCTAGATTTTTGAAACTATGTCCATTGGACTCAGAGAGCCGATTAATATATGATTAGACACCAAATTTACAATTTTTGATCGAAGAGAAATGGAATTATATACCAAAATATTTGCTTTTCGACGATTTATGTGGCGGCCATCTTGAATTTCAAATGGCTGCCATCCTAGCTTAAAGAAACTATGATTATTCGACTCAGAAAGCCCAATAACACAAGTTAAACATCAATTTTACTATTTTTCAACGAGAAGAAATTGGATTATACTGTGGAACATTTAATTTTCGACAATGACGGCAGCCATCTTAAATTAAAAAATGGCTGCCATCATTGGTTTTTGAAACATGTCTCATTGAATTCAGTGACCCCAATAACATGTAGTTAAACACCAGACTTACGTTTTTTCATTGATTATAAGTAAAGTTATGAACCAATATCTGAATTTTGGCAGCCATATTAAAAACGGGTGCTTAAACATGTTCCGCCCTTTTTCTCGGGGCACCCCCTCCCGCTCAATTTTTTATTTATACCCTAGTGATGCCAAATCAGCAGAGAAACCTTGGTCCCCGAAAAGTGGTCACAATAATAATAATAATAATAATAATAATAATTTGAATATGTATTAAGCGCTCTTATATATGCGAGATTACTAATCCGTGATAACGAATTAGTTAATTCGTTATTACGGATTACTAATTCGTAATTACGAATTAGTAATTCGTTATTACGGATTACTGAACATATACTTTATTGGCACTAATGGGCTTTCGTACCTTTATGACTAGCGAATTCTAACGAAATAAATAATTCGGTCGTTTACCACCGTATTATGAGTGAGGCGGCAAGCGCGCGGCAAGTACCGGTGAAAAGTGTGGTGTTTTAACCTCATAAGAGATCTCTTTGTAGATAATGGCCCGGGTCGTATTTTCTTAAGTAACCACATCCGTAGATCCTTCCTAAGACTCTTCAAAAGATTATAAGGCAACTGGGAGTGTTCTTATGGTTGAACACCGCGAAGTTCATTAGCTACCGGTATACTAGTAAGCCCTATCTGTACGGTACTGTATATAATGTGTTATCGATATGTGATCTGTCTATTACATAACCCGATCTCGAGAAAATCAGAAATGTTTTTAAAGATTCAAAATTCAATACAAATTGTATGGCAAACAAGCTAACCACTACCTACCACTACTAATTGCATCTGCTATTCTGGCCTACTAATTAAAAAACAATTTACATCAATTATTTTTTTTAAAGAAGCCCCGTCTGTGCTTTGCAAAAGTACCTCGATAGAAGCCTAAGCGTAAAATCTTAAACAATGTTCTGAAAAGGTTATTCCTTTATATAGTAAAAATAATATATATATATACATATATATGTATACATATAATATATATATATATAAATATTATATATATGTATATATAGGTATATATATGTATATATATATATATATATAAATAATAGACGTTTTTTCAGGATGATTAT